AAAAAAGCCAAGTTATTTTACAAATGAATAGAATAGAATTCTTTATTGGCCAAGTGCGATTGGACACACAAAAAATTTGTCTCTGATGCATAAGCTCTCAGTGTACATACAATCAACAAAGTGATAGGTCATAAATCATACTTACAATCATTACTGATAAGATACAACAAGCAGTGACAAATCGATACCAATAGGAGAAGGTTTTAGGAAAGATGAGAAAAATGAGAAGATGAGCAGGATAATAGCAATACAGCCTACAGACATGTGTAAATAGACAGTGCCGTGGGAATTAGGTGTTCAGCAATGTGACTCATTAATTCCATCTACGGCTTCCTTTTCTAAAAGATGTCAAATGCTTCCTTTGCTGCATGCCTTGCTGTTGAATTTGGCTTGGCTTTTTCGTTTTCAAAGTGGCTTCTCCGACTTCCCAAACTAACCTTGCCGTTCGATTAGGTACCAGTTACGATTACGTTCGGGAATTCCGAAGAAGCACCGGGACGTGGCACCCAACGAAACCCCTCTTCCCGTCCTACCTCCGCCACACCGGATGTGCCGCTTTGCGCATCGCCAACTGCAAACTCTTCCGCCTCCAACTCCAGCAGGGGCTGCTCCTCTCCCTCCGCGCCCGCGTCCCTTCTCCTTGACCGTCCCTTCACGCAGCAGCCTGGACGGAGAGCGTCCGAGGAAAGCCCATTGTACGGATAACCGCTTTCTATAAATGGAGAAGCCCGACATCCTGCAAGCAGACATTTTCAAACCATATACTCGGCTTTGGTATGATAACCGTTCTAACTTTTTCTTTCATTGCTCAAACGCTTTGGCCTCGGCTTGTCTCTGGAGGGGCTCACGGTAGGAAAATGAGAGGCAACGAGAAGGCCTGTCACTACCCATGTTAAGCCCCGTGGCTGGGCTGTCCCTGGGCGTCTAGCGAAGAACAATAGTGTAAAAAGAAAACTTGCGGATGATGGGGCAGCATCTGCAGGATGTGTTTTCACCAAGGGGGAATGCTTGTGAATAGGGAAGCCCAGCTGGCACACAATATACCGAATGAAAATATTTATATCTCTCTCTCTCTCGCTCTCTCTGTGATGCCAAAAGAGACTTTAAAAGATCCACTGGGAGGAGGAGAAAACGGGCACGTCAACTTTTAATTTTCACAGCTTTCTTTGCAATTTGGAGGCCTCTGCCCGCAAAGACAGAATGACATATAAAGCCATCGTTCACACTTTTTTTATTCCTAGGAATTTTTTTTTTAAACAAAATGGACTAAACTCTCAAACCAAGCTCAGTGTTGTGCCGTTAAAAAAGGGGGAACTAGATATATATATAATCTTTTTTATTATTTGTGGTTCACCCTTGCACTGTTGTGGACTTCAGGAGCGGATCTCAGTTAATGAGATGGGTGGAGATGAATTTCAGAAGTGCCATACATTATTATGAATGGGGCAGAGAGTGCATATTTGGGTTAGGGTTAGGATTTAGAATATTTCCAAACGTTAGGAATGAAAAGATGCTGCAAAGAGTAAAAAAAAAAAAAATATTCCTAAACAGTTGTATTATGGATGAAAGGCGCATTTTTTTTTAATCTTCTTGTAAAATGGGAGAGGGAGCAGTGAAATTAATACATTTCAGACACTGTCTGGAGAATTATATGGGGGTCCAACATTGGTGTAAAAATTACCTCTTTCTAAGAAAATTGCGCTGAATATTGTTACAGTGAAGGTTTTATTTTTATTTTCCATTTTATAAGTTTATTTTTGATCATACATATTATTTAATTAGACTACAGATAATTTGCTAGCCACAGTACTGTTTACCTTTCTACTTAAGCATTATTTTGTTACCTTGTTAATGAAGCTCTATAAATGAAAATTTAAAAAAAAAGTGTGGGGGGGATCCACACCGTTGAAATATTCCATGTTCTTGCGCTGTAGATTCTGATAAGGCGTCGTTACAACAATGGGATTGTTTTTCCATTGTACGTGTGTGCTCAATAATGCATATTGTTGGGCCAGGTGTTTACAGTAATCCAGTGGAATTTCTGTGGATGTTTTAGAGCACATCTCAGGGCTGCCAGATGTTCCTGAAATACAGCTTCCCATCATCCTTCCTGGCAGAAGCTTGAGGCTTCGGCACTTGTGGTTCCAGAATGTGCAGATCCCCATTCCTCTACGTTCTGGAGAAGGAATGTAGACCTCCAGGTTGTGGGCTTTTCCCCACCTGATCTTAGAAAGTCCATATTTTGACAGGAAGGCTGTGATCGGTACACAACAGTAAGACTATAACACCTGGGGTCAAAAGGATCACATCCTAAACCCATTTTAAAGTTTTGTTTCTGTTGCGAGAAAAGATCTGCTATGCATTCCTTCGTAGGTCTACTCACAGATCTACAACAATCCAATTGTTGAGGGCTTGTTTTCACATCAGAGGCACATGCTGACCACGTTCTCTGTGTGTTCGCAGGATCTTCCTTCTCCTTTAAAAAGTCAGCTCATGCAAACATTTAAATTAGAGATGCATACTTAGGTCGCAGTGGCTGCAAATATTGTTCCAAGTTTTGCTTTTCTTCGACGTCAGAAGTATTTTGGAAGGTTTGAGAAGCTGCTCCTTGGAGCGCTCCTCCTCCTCCTCCTACAGCACGGGAGTCCAACCTTGGTAACTTTAAGATTCGTGCTGGGAATTCTGGGAGTTGTTTCTAATCCACGAGTCTTAAAGTTGCCAAGGTTGGATTCCCCTGTCCTCAAGTTTTCTAATGGATCTCTCTGTCTTAGTGGAATAGGGGTCCTTTTTTTCAAGTAGTCAGCTATTTCCCTTCCTTAACAATCTCCACCCACTTTACTTGGCAATTTAATGCAAAGGACACTCTTCAAGGCTTCCCTTGAGTTGCTCCTGGCTCTCTTGATCTAAACAATTGAAGTAAACAATACCCCAATCAAGGAACTGCCAAATAAAAGAACAGTAAACAGCCCGACCAAAGAACCTCTGAGATCAGCCTCACCCACACTTGACCGGGAAAGCCACCAGAATATAACTTGAGAGGGACCACTACTCCCTACTAGCACTGATGATGTTACTTAGTTGGGTCATGAAACGTCTGCGAGGAAACAGCCAAGCTCAGAGAGCACCAAGGAGCCCTCCTTTCAACCCTGAGTTACAAATATCCTCTTTTTATCTCCTGATCTTCTAATATCCCAAACCTAGAGAACCATCCAGTTGGATCTTCATTAATTGTCTTTCCGTGGGATTCCCACCAGACTGATTCCATTCTGATGGGAGCAAAATAAGAACAGTGGATTGGAAAGCATAAATGAAAAAGAGAAAAGGAGAAGCATTTGTCACCTGATAAGTTTGCAGAAATGAGCTAAATGTTGGCACTCATCGACATGGTGTTCTGTTTCTCCTTTTTTTTTTTATTGGCAGTTTCTCTTTTTGGATGAGAAATGTGTGCTTTCAGGTCCACAATTTTAAATTTTATTTTTATAGTCTCCCCTCCATTGGAAGTCCTCCATAAGAGCACACTGATAAGTTAGTTTTTTATTATTATTCCTTTAATTCAAAGCTGTCGTCTCTTTTCCCATACAAGCTCTGTCCTAATTCTTGCAAGCGATTGTTGCTCAGGTGTACCTATAAAATGCCAGACCAGACCACTGTCTTCAGAAGTAAGACTCCTTACTTTGAACCGAATGACGTTAGGAAGGATCTTTTCTTGGTTTCCTTGAGAATTCAAAGAGCTTGGATTTCATTTGAAAATATTAAATGCAAGTTCCTCGCTAACCAAACAAGCATAGTTAGGAGATATGCAGGGTGTTTTCCTTTTCTTTTTCTCTTAGAAGCCAGCTTTCGAGTTTTTGCAGGGGAGGTAATTTACAATGCTTAAGCTGCAGTAAAATAACTTAATAATAGCACTGCATTAAGGAGTACAGAGGGCTGGTTGGGAAGAAATTGAAATACGACTGATAGTTGCTTACAAGAATAAATAAAGGGCATCCCAAAACGAATTAAATTGGATCCTTTCTAGGAGCTAAAAGTCTTTTCATAGAAAACATTCTTTCGGACAAATATATTCAGTTAATCTGATTCATTTGCTGGCCTTGGCTAACATTGCCATCCATAGAGAAAGGTTATGTCATGATTCAGTGTGACTCCCATCAGTCTGTAAGATTACTTTCCTGACTTGTGGTCTTGGAGCCAAATTAGATACCAGTCAATCTGCGTCTCAAAATCACTTTGCTGCTGCCTCACCTTTATACAGCAGGGTTTCCAGGATGATTTAAAGGAAGAGATTCCCCTCCTCCCAAAATCAATTCTGTATCTGTGTTTCTGCCAGGGAGAAGTAATTAAAGAAGAAAATTAGAAAGGAAAGTTTTCTCCTCAATACTACTTTATAAATGTTTGCTTTGTTTAGTTTTAACTCTCTGAAAGTCCTGTTTATTATTACTTTTTGTTGTTGTTGTTCTTTTTTTTAAAAAAAAAAAGTCCATTGTGTATAGCCCAGAATAATATTCCTACACCTGTAAAGTACTGTAATCATATGCCTAAGCTACCGCGAGTAACATGGAGAGCAGCTGTTCATATTTTATTTCAGGGTGTATTGCAATTCACATATTTGACAACACAACTTGCAACTGTTTGTCCACCTTTGGCAAACTGCTTTTTAGAGTTTGGAAAGATTAACGAGGCCTTTTGAAACCGGCTCTCAATGTCTGGTTTACGGTAGTCAAACATTAATTCTGTTTTTAAAAAACGACCATTAATGGTGGCAAGAAACACCTCCCTATTCTGGTTGTGTTTTAGCTCTGAATGATTAAAACAGAATCCCTAGGTGTAAACACACAGATTTGTTTCTGTAATGCATCTTCTCTCTTCCATAGTTACCTCAATAGTTTTCAAAAATCACAGAGCTGGTGTTTGTCATGCATAAGGCACTTTACAATAACAAAAACTTGCAGTGAGTGCCAACCTTTTTTTTCTTTTGTTCTTTTTGTTCTTTTTCAGCGCAGGTGCTGCTAAACTCATCCAAGTGCAGGGATATTACAATACTGAGGTCTACTGTAAAACTGTTTAAATGATAGCAGAGTACACTCTTCTTGTTTGTCTTAATTCTGAGTCTAAAATCACCGTGGACGACAACACAGACTGGGCAGCCCTGTCCCTTTGCTATAACAGGGCCATCCTTGGAAATGAATAATGAGTTTAAACTGTCCCTTTTTTTATTTCCACAGGCTCTTAGGGCAAGTCAAATGGCATAAGGCTTAGGAAAGATTGCGTCCACGCTCTTAGAATTGCCTCTGTTTAGGAAGAACAACCATTCATGCAATTAGTAATTGGCTGGCTTGGTTCTTAGGAACTGTGTCACAGTTCCCGTTACAAATGGTGGCAGAGAACAGCAGCCCAGAATGACCCAACTGTCAATATATATATATTGCTTGCTGTATTAATCATTTTTATTCGATTAACAGATGGTTCAATCTCAGGCTGAGAAACTCTTTACGCCTGAGTGTCCCTAAGGACACCAGAATTGGAGTTAAGATGCAGTTGGTATGTTATAACCTGCATGTATCTTTTATTAGCTTCCCTTTCTCCATTTTCACCCCACTTTCAAAGCTTTAGGGCTAAAACTGCATTTTTTCCAATGTTTCTGCAG